TCCCCAGCCAGCCATGCTGGCTGGGGAATTCTGGAAGTTGAAGTCCACACATCTTAAAGTTTCCAAGGTTGAGAAACACTGCCTTATATGCAAGTGGTTACGATTTCCATTCAGCTGGAATTGGCCCAGTTTATGGGCTGGTGATGGTGGTGAGGGACCTTCAGGCAGCTCGTGTGAATCAGGAAAAAATCCAAGTCAAAGCATCCTTTTGATTCAGTTCAATATGAACCCCCCTGGTCAGATCAGATCCGTTCAATGCCAATTTGGAAGTCAGTTCAGAAAAGGCCTTTGCGAAGGAATGGCCCTGTATCGGTTTGAAGGTCTTTGGTTCCAACTTACCTCGTCCAACTTGACTTTGAGGTTTGGAAAGCGGTTCCTTTTGGAAAGCTGATCAAAACCCTTTTCCATCTGTGCTTTGAACTGAGTCTATCTGCAGAGACCTAAAATCGACCCTCATATTTGAGTTATTTGAAGGTAGCAGCAAAGGGCTGGGAGATGCTAGCATTGCTTACCGAATGGCTGACAGCCAGGGAATCCACTGAAGGAAGTTAAGATGGTGGCTGTGAGGGTGCGATTGAAACTCCTCCTGTTTTTTTATGTGCATCACCAGTGTGATGCGCATAATAAAAGGGATGGAGGGTCAATTGCACCATCACAACCAGCACCTTGACTTCTCTGACCATACCCTATGGCCACCCATAATGGCCTTTGTCTTGTGGTGCTTTATCTGCCACAGTTGTCCACATGTAGAACAAACCCAAGCTTGGTGCCATTCCATAGGACTTTGGATTTTCCATCTTCTTCTTGTTCCTCTATGCATCATCCTTTCAGGGTATTTGAAGGGGGCTCAGTCCTTGCTTAGTCCTTTCTCATCAAGACTAAACATTCCTACTTCCTTGACTCTATCCAAGAGGAGTTAGTTTCTAGTCCCTGATCCCATCCTAGATGCATTTCTAATGTCAGTTAAAGTACCACTCCCAAAATTCTAACTTGAATTTAACATTATCATCTTGAATTTAACATTATCATCTTGCATTTCAAATCTTGGCGCAGACACAATTCAACTCCAGGTGCAACCAATGTGAGGCCTACTCTAGAGATGGAGAGTCTGGATCTCAGTGACAATGTTCCACATCATAGTTAGGAAGAGGAGAAGTAAGGAGGTTCACGGGAGGGGTGTGGTCAGGAAAGTCAAGATTGTGGTGTTAAAAAGAGGTGAGATTTCAGCTGGGGGGTTGCAGATACCATCTTGACTTTTTTGAGCCCCTTCCTATGGATGCCCCTGGAGGGAAGAATCCCAAAGTGGCTTACTTGATCATAAAGATCCAGAGCAGAATCTCTCCTTTCCCAAAACTCTGCACCGTCAACCAGGGGCTAGGAATGTACAAATGCATGTACGGTTCATCCTTTTCCTTTTTCTTGAAATATGCCTAAGGTAATATTCCAGTCTGTTATTTTTTGTTTGGGGCTTTATTTTTTAATGGATATTTTTTTCAGACTTTTTAAGAAAGAAAGAAAGAAAGAAAGAAAGAAAGAAAGAAAGAAAGAAAGAAAGAAAGAAAGAAAGAAAGAAAGAAAGAAAGAAAGAAAGAAATTTTCATTGCAACTTTTCCTAACATACACATCACTTAATGCAACTTTTTGTATGTAGCAATTAAAGGCAAAGTCTGCACGAAGCATTTTTATTAATGCACATTTCACTTATGTTGCATTCATTATCTAAATTTTCCTTGTGCGGGTTGTTAAAGCTTTCACGGCTTAGTTCCTGGATACTGTCAGGACTTTCCCCTCCAGCCAGTTTCAGTCTGACTAGTTAGAATTCAGTGTTTCTCAACCTTGGCGATGTGAAGATGTGTGGACTTCAGCTCCCAGAATTCCCCAGCCAGCAAGGCCTTCCTGTCCATATCGCGCCAGGCCTTCCTGTCCA